GGTGATGGGCTAGGGAGAGTGCAGGCGTACTGCTGTGAGTTTTGTACATCCCAAGGGAAGGGAGGTAGCAGGTGTATTGCTTTAAGTCCTGTGAACTCCATTGTTTCAGGAGCATGAGTAAGGAGAGATAGCCTGAACAGGAGACCATCTGAGGTGACATTGTCCGCTCGGACGAAATTCGGTGACCAGTGTAACAGTCAAAAGGACTGAAAATTCCTCTCAGTTATCTTGCATCTCCTTATCTTTCTTCGCCATTCTATCGTGCATTCTTTCTGACAGTGGTTTTCATGTCAGTGAATTTTCTATTCTGAACCTTCTATTTCACCTTTTTACTGTAAAGCATATCTATTGGACACACACTTCAACTGCTTTGCTCTTATATGTAAATGGAATTCCGTGCTCTTTCTTGTTTTATTGCGACCAAAGTTTCGATTGGACGCTCTTTGTTGAACTAACCGTTGCTTTCGGTTATACTGAACCCCTTTTGGCTGTAACGCTGAAGATTATTTTGCTTGATCTGTTGAAGTGTGCATAATTTTCCTATTGGTCCAGAATTATCTGAAAGGTAATTCAAATCACTCATTTTCTTATTTACTTTTTATTACCGCAGATATTTTCTGTGAATATTTGTAACATTTCGGCTGGATAGTGAATCAGGCTCATTATCAGAGGTATGACCGCCTTATGTATTTGTGATTAATGCAAAAATAGTACTATTTTTGGATCGACTCGGTTCTCGATAATTTTGGCTACGCGTTGCTTTGAGATTTGTTTATCGCTATCCGGAACGAGCGAAGGATCATTTGATTGAACGCATACAGGCGAGGTCTTTTTTATTTCGCTCGGACCAAGACAATTGCGTTTTGGTTGTTACACCCAGGACCATGTTGATGCAGCTCTTTTTATTTCTTCTATTCTTAGCTTACCGTAACACGTAATGGAAGCTGCTGGAGACAGTGTTTTGTGTAGCCCATGGCCCGTGTGACCCGTTTCCTCGGCTCATACTTCCGCTGAAGATGCTCCGTGATTCAGCTCCTTTCAGTCCGTTACTGCTGGGTTTAGGGGCTTTCAGTGCCTTTTGTTTGTTTCATTACTTCTTTCGGCTTCGATGTCCCTGGCGGTACCTTCGGAGTAGACCTGCCTAGTCGAAGCATCGCCTGCTCCTTCGAGCGTTGATACCCCGTTATTTTCTCGACTTGGTATTTTTACCTCAACTCGTCTGATCTCCATTCTAAACTTCTTATTGCAGCCGACGTTCGCTGTCATACGTGACCCTAAGTGCGGCGGACTATCTGGCGTGACGCTGATTCGGCTTTGTATTTTGATTTTACCCGCTCTAGAAAACAGTTGATCCCTCCAATACATGGTAGGCAACATTGTCATTTTTGGCCGCGGCTGCCATTTTTACGTGGCTCGCCAAAGATCCAAGCGGTGGAACTTGACGATCAGGACTGTCACGGGCAGCCTGGTCATTCTGAGTATATCTCTGATGTGGCGACTATCATCCTCTTACCTGAATTTGTGGTTAGTGGCGACTGGTTCTGGGCAGTTGTGCTATCTAGCCCTGGAGTTTGACACTCTTGATCTCTGCCTCCAGTTGCCGAACTTTTTCCTTCAGTGCTGCCAGCTCTACTGTAAACGTATCGTCAACTACCTTCCCGCTCAGCCTGTTCGTTACTTTAGTTGCGTGGATCTCATTGGTGCGATTTTTACCTTTTCCCACACTTTTCACCACATCTTTGGCCGCAGCGTCATTTCCTTGGAATCCCTTTCCAGAGGAGTTCCTTCTCGCGTCTGGTCTATCCATTGAAGAACAGCGCAGACAATCCCGGAGCATTCGTGAGCATTCATCTGCGAAAGTAGTGCAATGCCGACAGATCCATCTGAGGGATTTGTGAACAGTATGCAGTTGGAAATCTTTTTTCTCAGTCTAGAGCAAGCTTGATGATACCAGCTGCGATATGTCACACCGTATGCCTTCAACTACGGACTCAGCACATGATTTGGTCCCACGTAACCCTGTACTATCTTGGCGTGTCTTTTTTCTCGTTGACGATATGTTTTATGAACAAGCATTACCGTATCAGACGAGTCCAAAGCAATTTGAAATGCCAACAAATATCTGGGAACTATTCCGGTATCATGGTATGCAAACACGTTTAAATGGTAAAACAGTAAAATGAACAATGATACACCTAAAAGCTGAGGCAACACTAAGGATGTACAAATGCACTGAAAATGCCTATAGAAACTTAAATATGTCCTAGAAATATTCCCACGATGAAATCTAACCGCGCGGCTTCAAGGTCAAGACCAGTTTGCACAGAACAGGAAATGGCCTTGGCCAATCGAGCGTCCAGAGGTTTTTCGGTGGTATGCGCAGGTCTGGCACCCACCACTGTATCCAGTAATCTGTCAGTCATCCTGCTCAACAAGAAAGAAAAGGACAGTTCATCTTACCTGATCGGCGAAAGACGTTGGGTACGTGAGCGTTCAACAGATCCCCTAATGAGAGCGTTAAATTAGTGCTCAACCCAGCAACTACTTCGTCCCACCTTTGAACTAGAGTTAGTTTGAAGTTTTGAACTGATGTAGTTCTATCAGTTCCTCTTACAATTGGTGTAACGGCAACCAAAAAGCTTTCACTACAAATCGCAACGTCTCGACTTCGTCTGACCAAATTTCCAGCACGTAGGAAAACAGTTGAAAGACAGTTGAAATTTCGTTCCTATTATAGGCATATATCAATATATATTTGCGGCTAACGAAACCGTCGTAGATCCCAGTTACAGAACGACAAAAAATAGAGAAAATCACGGAGCGAGACCGCAAAGATACCGAACGGGTAAGGAGGAGGCCGTTTGAAACAACTGTTAAACGTTGAGTTCATAAAAGAGTAAGAAGAGATAAGAAAAGGAAGATAATGGGATTAGAAAAGTAGTGTGTACAAGAGATATTGAAAACCGTCACACCGCCCGCCAATCGCGCAGCGATTTCTCGTCGTTTTCTGCATAGATTTCAAACGGAAGTTCTCCATTTGACATTTGAACAATTGATTTTGAGTACCGCGTTGCGCCATTTTTTTGTAGACGCTGATGGGATAGTTGCTATTACATCATTTTTCAAATGCTTATCTCATGTAGAGTAGATGGTTAGACCATCAAGCCTGACAATCGTACCAAAGACCGGAGGCGAATGCGTCGGTCTGAGTGAAATCCACCTAAGTAGATTAAATGCTCCGACTGGCCGGGGTGTAGAGAAATTGGGGCACAATCGCTCGTCAGACGGGGACTATTTCAATCAGATAAATTATCGTGATATGAAGTCGATCAAGCATATTTATCGATGAAACTGGGTTTTGGCGATCATGGGTTTTTTTTCTTTAATTTTTTTGTAGAAAGCTAGTCACGCCTCCAGTAACCACAACATGCAATCGTTCATAGTAACCCGTGACGATTACAACTGTGGTGTTGATCGTAGCTAAATACCGTTTGGATGTCGATGAAGCACGATGTTCTCCATCTCTTTTCAAGACTGATATTGCAATTAACTTAACTGTCGCCCGTGTGTAGCTAAAAATCAGTGACGGTAAGAGTAATAGCAAATTAAATATGAAGCATAAAACATAACACGAGAATAAATTGTCAATGACCGCAATTTGTAAGCAAACGTCTGACTAACGAATAAAAGGGATTGATTCGGGGTTTGGGTTTAGTTATTGCTTCATGGTAATTTAGTCTGAACGATCAGCGAACGTTTTGATTCCGTGAGGCTTCATATGCGGATTTCGCAAGCCGGTATTGTTTATGACATCAGTAATATATGTGAATCCGTCAATCAGGTTGGAATAGCTTGAGGGCTAATGAACTCAAATGATCATTAGTCAAATATTGAGCTCAAGTGCTCCGAGTTGATCATATTGCCAACAAAACCAAATGTTCTTACCCCATATATTCAATTGCGGCCCATTCCGCTCCGAGTTATTAATTTTCAAATTAGCCACTGCTGATTGCTTTCGTGAATCCGGCATTTCTTGTTAAAGTTTCAAAGCATCACAATTGTGCCCAAAATGTTTCTGTTAACTTGAAGCGCCGAACATTCAGGAATGTGTATGTTTGTCCATTGTCAAGTGTGTGACGTTACATAAAGTGTTGGTTTTGAAGTATCGAAATTTAAGAGAGATAGACGTAAAACGAGAAGGTCATATTGGTGATATACCACTTGGATCTGATTTGAAATAATGGAAAGTATTCCCTTATCCATCGCCTTCAGATATCCTGCACTTCTAGCCATCTACAGTTATAACGGTCTAGCGTGGTTTTCACCTTGGAACTCAAATCACACCGCCCTATAGTGAGCAACATCTGTGGTGTGAGTGCTTTGCAAGCTTGTGAATCGACAGATTGCGAAACGAGCGGTCTATTATTCATTATCCATTCGGCCTCTACCAGGGCCGTCAGTAACACTCCGTTCGTCACCTGTTTTGCACTGAGAAGTGCCGTCAGTATTCTCTTCATTATATTAATCAACCCTTTCCAAACTCTTCCTCTATGGCTGACGTTAAGAGGGTTGAAGTGCCACTGTACCGCGTCCTTAAGGAGATAATTATGTATTTTATCCTGAGACCAAGATCGTAAACAAGCCCGTTCATTGGTCGCTCCGATGAAATTCCATCCATTATCACTGAATGTGTTTTGGTTTGCCTCTGCGAGCTATGAACTGGTCTAGGGCCATAATGAATGATTCCGTTGAATATGTGTGCACTACGTCAAGATGTACTACTCTCCTGGTCATGCAGGTAAAGGTAGATCCTGATCTTTTCTCCACGGACCAGCCCCGAATGGCATAAAATGGTCCTAAATAGTCTAGATCAACCAAGTGGAATAGTGGCAATGAGCTACTTATTCTATTTATAGGCAATGGAGCCATTAGCTGACACTCTGGCTTACCCAGATGCCTACGACAGTGAATGCATTTGCTCAGAACTCTCTTTATGGCTGCACCACCTTTGGTTATTCAGAACCGCCACCTAACTTTTGGATAACACGTGTCCGGGCCCTAAATGACCTTCCTTCTCATGAAAGCAAAGAATGAGAAGCTCGGTTACATGGTGTCTTGGGGGCAGGATAGCCGGGTGTCTGGCGTCATGTGGCAAGGGCGCGTATTGCAGTCTACCACCAACTCGAAGCAGTCCATTCACTAAAATTGAACACAACTTACGTAAGAAGCTACCCCTGTGAACGCGTCCCTTAGGGTTCACTGGCGAAACCTGATCCTCTGAGAACGATTCTGCTTGAACTAGAAGCAAAACATTGTCGCATGCAAGCTCAAGCTCCTCTGTCGAAAGTTTACCCACTCGTAGTGACAAGGTACCTTTCTTCCCAAACATTTCGTTGATACATTGCGTAAATTGCCTCAGCCAACCTGTCAATCGTAACAGCTTATATCAATGCGAATGATAAGAAAGTAGATTGACGCTTATCGTGACAGTTATGAGGTTGATATTCACGGTGCGCTTAAGCTCAATCTGGGCTTCGATTTCTTCAGTGGAGACCAATTTCAAGGAGGAATCTCTACTAAAATTCGCAGGAATGGCGGCTCCCGGAGCCAACTTTCCCACTTCCGATCGTCCGCCTCCAGACCGCAAGACTTGTGGTCTGCAGAACTATCTGTTCACTTTACATTATACCATTGCTGAGGAGTTGAGCTTTCATGTATTATAGCCAATCGGCTAGCTATAAATGTGCTATAAATAGCTGATCTGTTACTAATGTAATAAAACACAATTGTTGTATCGGTTCGATAGAATATGGGCCCCTTTGAAATATCCAACTCCCGGCTTATAGTATCACATAACTTAATTGCAACAACGGCAGCCGCCAGCTCTGGTCTAGGTATTGCAACTGTCTCAAGTGGAGCCACGTGAAATTTAGCAATAACAAGGTTACATACAATATTACCATTTATGTTGCCCCTCAAGTAGGCTGCGGCCCCTTAAGCTGATTCAGACGCGTCAATAAACATATGCAGTTAAGATGACTCACTGGCTCTTTGGTTTTCACTCCCATACACCTCGGCGGCTTTGATTCCTTAAAGCTGTAAACTTCACCAACCCAAGAATCCCAAGTGCACCGGTCATTCTCACCTATTAGTTCATCCCATCCAAGGGTTTTGCAATGAAGTGCTTGTAACAATACTCTGCCTGTTAGAAGTATTGGAGTAACGAGACCCAGAGGGTTATACAGAGAAGCAACATAAGACAGACGTCCTCTTCTAGTGAATGGCTTCCGGATCGCCTCAAACAAGAAAACGGAAGCGTCGTCAACAATAAGCCAATTCATGCCTAAAGTACGCTTTTGGGCATCTAGATTCATATTTAGCTGTGCACAACTGACCGCCCTTTCGCTCTCTGAAAAATTGCTTATGGTGTCACTGCAGTTGCTCAACCATTTGCATAGCCGGAAACCTCCCTTGCTAAGCGCTACTGTTCATTAATCCGCGAGAAGCATTGTTTGTTCGGCATCTCCAAACGATGCTTAACAGTTGTCGACGTAAACATATCGTCCCATTGCACATCTCACTCGATCATGGCCCAATTCTGTGAATGATTCGGCCGTGCGGTGTAAGACGTAATTCGCACAAAATGGTGGCGAGGTGACATCAAATGGGTGAACTAAACTTCTTTATTCTTTTGGTTGTTTATTGAGATCTCCATCAGGCCAATACAGGAACCTAAACGCCCTCAAGTCACGTTCAGGTACCCTAACCTGCAAAAGCACCTCTTGTATGTCTGCTGCTACAGCTACT